GTCTCTACAGTAGCTAGGAGGTGGGTTGTCTCTGCAGTAGCTAGTAGGTGAGTTGTCACTACAGTAGCTAGTAGGTGGGTTGTCACTACAGTAGCTAGTAGGTGGGTTGTCACTACAGTAGCTAGTAGGTGGGTTGTCACTACAGTAGCTAGTAGGTGGATTGTCACTACAGTAGCCCATCATGGGCTGATTCTGTGAGAACAGCACCATCTGGTGGCCTGAAATATGTACTACAGCGTCTCCAGCGCTTTCGAACGTGTCCGTGGCTGTCTCCTCCTGATTGGTGGAGTTGGCCCAATAGCCGTAGCGCAACTTCTGTGACGTCATAGAAGTGTTCAAATCTGGATCAGTCTGTATCAGATCCGTTGCAGCCCCTTTTTAAGAGATTTGGGTATGGAGGAAAATAGAGAGGGTTGTGTTTTCTGACACTTGGTGAGTTCCCTGGAACACCGGGGACACATATTCATGTATAAAAGGCCCTACAAAAGTGCATTTTGCATGATAGGTCACCTTTAATTTGACAGAATATCGTTCCAGTATCCGTCTACGTCGAAGGAGAACTTTATTTTGAAGTCACACTGAGCCCCTCTAAGCATTTCTGCTACCGTCTCGTTCTTATTTGCCTTGAACACATGTCTAAAAGAGCGACCATCTAAACATTAACTGTGATAAAGTGTTGTGTCAGTTTGCAGCTGCAGAGATAATGAACTCTCAGCTGCACATTAACATCACGGTGATCTGCTTCTCTTCAGCGTCACTGACATGTTTTCTGTTTCAAACGTGGAGGCTGCAGTTTGTTTACTTTCTCTCTTGTTCCCTACGGTGTAACTCCAACACTAGCCTGCAAGCTGCTGTCAATCAAACAAGGTGCCCTAACATCCCTCGCCCCCAAAACAAAACATTTCTTCATTTCAATAATACGAAAAAGGATGAATAAATATAACCAGGTTGACTTCAAGAAGGGATTTGGGCATTAGTCAACAACTCGACTAAAGGTTGCTACCCTTGCTAGTCTGCCAGATGTACAAGTTGGTTAAACTCATTTAAAAATATTATATTCTAGATAAAGTTTCTGTAAAATTAGGAAATTTTTAGCAGAATGTTAATGGAATGCTCTTTTGGTTTCTTTAAACAATGAAACATATTTTATAGGTTCCTTTTTTTAATTCGGTGTTTTCTTTTCTCTGACGCATGCCGATATTATTATTGCCGGACGAGAGGGTCATATATTAGCTTCCTTTATTCAATGTTTCCTTAACCTGAGCGATTTTTTAAATACATTAATATCTCTTTATCTCTCTGTGGGACGAATAAAGAGATTCTGATTCTGATTCTAATTCATAATCCAAACATTAAGAAATATATATTTTTTGTTTTGTTTTGTCCATATATTTATAAAGAAGTTCTCTTCCACCACTTCTCATCAATAAAACCTTTACAGGAAATACCCATATTGGGAACCAGTAGCCTAAATGGACTATTTCTGATTAAGCTTCTGTTTAAAGGCCAGAAAACTCATTATAGAAACATATGGAGGAGGCTGTGGCTCATTGGATAGTGTGCTGGACTTCGAATCAGGGGATAGCAAGTTCGAGTCCCACAGCAGTCAGCATGTCGTTGTGTCCCTGAGACACTTCACCCCAAATTGCTCCTGTGGGGATTGTCCACAGTACTGAATGTATGTAAATCGCTTTGGATTAATAAGAGCCTAACAAATAACATGTGATGTAATCCCTAGACTAAATGGGATCTCAGTTAAACTTGGAGTTTTTTTAGACAGCTTTCAGATGCATCTTGTTGCCTCCTGTGTTTGATAAACGTTCCAATACTTTTTGCATCAGATGCACTTTAAAATTGATAATTTGTTGTTTAAAACAAACATAATTTCCTAACCCCCTCCCTCTCCTTGCCCCCCTCCCCTCTGAAGGAGTGGACAACGGGCAGGACATCCCGCGGGACCTGCTGGTGGGGATCTACCAGCGGATCCAGAAGTGGGAGCTGCGCACCAACGATGACCACGTGTCCCAAGTGCAGGCAGTGGAGAGAGTCATTGTGGGCAAGAAGCCTGTGAGCAACATACAATGCTTTGTGACATGTTGCCACGACTATGGTTTAAATTTTATTCATTTATTTGTGCTGTATCTGTCTGTAGGTGCTGTCGCTGCCCCACCGCCGGCTGGTGTGCTGCTGCCAGCTGTACGAGGTGCCAGACCCCAACAGACCCCAGAGGACGGGGGTGCACCAGAGGGAGGTGTTCCTGTTCAACGACCTCCTGGTGGTGAGGACATTTCACTTCAGCTTTTATTAATAACATTTTCAACTAATAGATATCACCATGAAACTTCCTGACTTTACATAAAGGGAATTCTTATTTGTTTTACAAGTTTTCTGAAACGTTATGTTGAAATATGAAAATGAGACATTATCTTATCAAATATGAGAAAAATACTAATAAATTACATAGAATAAATATATAATAATAATCACATACGTTGTGCAAAATATACAACTCACGATATGAATTGCACATTAAAAGCATAACTTCTCAGAACAGAAATGTGAACATCTGGATAAAAACCAGTTTCAAAAACATTTAATTTATTTGATATATTTGGGTCAAATCTCCATTAATCAGAAAATACAATACAGCACAAATATGCAAATTACGTAATGCTAACTTTGGGTGAATTTAGGATAAATCTACGGACTCAAATAGACAAGGTTCATAGAATAAACACCTACATGTACATTTTGGATGTTTTCTTTCAACTAGACTTTTAAAAAAATCACAAAAATAATTTACAGAATGCCGTAGATCTGGGCATTGAGGCTGTGGCTCAGTGGATAGTGTGATGGACTTTGAATCAGGGGATAGCAAGTTTAAGTCCCACTGCAGTCAGCATGTCATTGTGTCCCTGGGCAACACACTTCACCCCAAATTGCCACTGTACTGAATGTGTGTAAGTTGCTTTGGATAAAAGCTTCTAACAAATGACATGTAATGCAGGGCTATTCAATTAGTTTGGAATGGGGCCGGTTGATGAAAATGATCCAAAGCAAGGGGCCGGGAAAAAGATGGCTTGATATATGAGCAATCATATTAAGAGCTTCAGATACAGTAAATACTACAGCATAGTGGAGTGCATATATTGTGTTTCATTAAATCAAATAACATAGCCCCAAGGCCTTTCTAGATCTAAATGGCAAGTTCATGTGAAGCTAATTTAACCATCAACATCATTTAATTTAATTTAGGTGAAATGATCTAATCATTCACGCAGAGATGCAATCAATGACAGGAGTTGTCACTACAGTAGCTAGTAGGTGGGTTGTCACTACAGCAGCTAGTAGGTGGGTTGTCACTACAGTAGCTAGTAGGTGGGTTGTCACTACAGTAGCTAGTAGGTGGGTTGTCACTACAGTAGCTAGTAGGTGGGTTTAGTAGGTGGGTTGTCACTACAGTAGCTAGTAGGTGGGTTGTCACTACAGTAGCTAGTAGGTGGGTTGTCACTACAGTAGCTAGTAGGTGGGTTCCAACCCTGAGCCCGCCGAAGTTTTCAGGCAATGTCTTCCCCTCTATCTCTCAATGAAACACCCTCTCTGGAAGAAAGGCTCTCTGGCCCAAAAAAAAATCTTTAAAAAGTAGATTCCTTTTCAACATTATACTCAAAGGGCCAGTAAATATCACCCCGGGGCCGGATCTGGCCCGCGGG